TGGGTGGTGGGTATCGTAGATTAACTGACAGTGGTGAATGTGGTCTGTCGGGCCTTCGAGTTAGAGTGCACGCTTGGTGTTTTTGTGTGTTTTGGGGAGATTTGGAGTTCTGTTTCGAGGTGTTTTGTGACCAAAGAAAGTCGAGATAGTGTTCAAGTGGGTTGGCTGCTGGCTCCTGACAGTAGGTGCATTCCATGACGTCATTTCCGATCATCTGCCAGGAGCACTTGTACCCTAGTCGTAATCGATGAAGGCTGACTTGGGTTTGTCTTGGAGTTTTCTTGTCAGCGAAAGATGGTTCCCCTTTTGTGGCCGCCAGGTACCATTTGGCTGATTGGGAACCAGCGTTGAATGCGTGAAGGAAGCTCTTTTTGATGTGGAGCTTGCTAGTCTTTCTGAGGTGATTCTTGATCTGTTGCACGCTTGCTGGAACTTGGATGTGTACGCTACTAGAACGTGTAGTTGCCTTGGCTGCTTCGTCTGCCACGTCGTTTCCTCCGATCCCTACGTGACTGGGAATCCAGTGTAAGACGACTGGGCGGTTTTGGCTTTGGAATTCCTGTAGCTGTGCGAGGATCGAGGTAATGATGTGGACGTTGTCTCTTGGTTGACTGTGTTGCAGCGCCTACATGGCCGATTTCGAGTCCGTGTGAATTATGATGGACTTGTTGTGTTGTGTTGTAGGGCCTTTGAGATTGCTACCAGCTCTCTTTGTAGGGTGGAGCAGTCATTGGAAAGTCTCCATCGGAGGGTCTGACCTTGGGTGTAGAAAGCCGCTCCGGATCTATGATGTTTAGGGTCCACCGAGCCGTCTGTGAAGTATGATGCTGCATCAGCCGGTGTCTCGGTGGCTATGGCTTCGAGAGTTATTTTTATGAGGTCCTCCTTCTGGAGGTTGGCTTTACCGTAATTTGGATGGGCTGGTGAGTTCCATAGGGGAGGAGCAATGTAACCATTGGGTTCTGATGAGTGCCTGCTTGCAGGTGTCGGATGACCTCGCTTGCCTCGTGCGACCAAGTGGCCCCTCGCACTCTGTGGTCGAGGTGGAGGGAGGCACTGATTCGAATTTTGGCAACTGTGGGCTTATCTGATCTACAGATTTTGGCGAGGAGACCGGCTGTCACCTGCTTGACTCGTACTGCCAGGGGTGGTAGTTCGGTTTCCATTTGCAAATTGCAAATTCTGGTCCACATGGGTGCTCCGAGCATGGTCCTGAGAGCATTATTTTGGATTACTTCTAGCTTGGCTATTTGGTCTTCTCTCAGTCCAATGAGTACTGGAGCACTGTAATCTACCAGCGATCTGATGGCGGCCGTGTAGTAGGCTTTGAGCACATGAAGGTTTGCTCCTGCGGTTGTGCTGGTGAGCGACCTCATTATATTGTGTCTGCTCTTCGTCCTGTGCCTGAGATACTCGAGTTGCGGCTTGAAGGTGAGTTTCTGGTCAAACCAGATTCCAAGACACTGGTGGGTGTTGGTCCAGACTACCGGCGTATTTTGTATGGAGAGCGTCTTGTCTGGTGTGTCTGTGCAGATGGCCATCGCTTTCGACTTGGCTGGATTTATCTTGAGTCCAAGTCTGTTGCACTCCTCTTCTATAAGTTGGAGTGCGTGTTGCGTGTTGGCTAGTCTGTTTGATCCTCTTACTATAAGCTGTAAGTCGTCTGCATAGCATAGGCGATTCCCTTATATATATTTTATATATATATAATCTACTTATCTGTGTATTTAATTAATTTTTTGTCTGAGATATTGTTGATACGACGGGCTGACCGGTCAACACTGATTTAGACACAGTACACAGATGAAGTAGTTATGTCTCGTGCCTTGTGCAGTCGTGGAGCCAGTGCCCGGATGAGTCAGTCGGATGATAGCTCCATAGAGATGGATGACCAGGCTGACCATGACGCTCCAGCTCCAACAACATCGCGCAGCCCTTCACCTCGACATTCAGCGTTGTCTCCAGAGATAATTGCTTTAATGAAGTTTATGAGAGATGAAAGGTGCGAGGATGAAGCTAACAGACGTGTGGCAGACGAACGCAGAAGACAAGCAGAGGCAGAGAGAGACCACCAACGGAGATTGAAAGACAGTGCATGGTTTGAAGCTTTGATATCTCGCCTCACTGTTAACTAAGCCCCTGGCTCTAACACTGCCTCAGTACTGACTGCTTCAGATACCTCATCACTGCTCTCTTCACGCCCACCAGCCCCACCTAAAGCAGCAGCTCAAACACCGCCCATCTTGAAGCCTGATGTGACTTTCCAGACTTTTCGTGAATGGCGGCGACGGTGGACTGATTATTCTACAATGGTGGATCCAGAGTTTGTCACAGCCTAAACAACTCATCCAGCTGTGTATGTGCCTGTCCTTGGAAACTCAGCGTGTCTTAGAACATACGTTGCAGGTACCTCCGACCTCTTCGTTGTCTGTAAAGGAGGTACTGGACATTCTACAACGGCACATCAAAGGACAGCGGAATGAAGCTCTGCGCAGGAGGGAATTGTTTAGCTGCAGGCAGATGGAGGGTGAGACTTTTGACGTTTTTTATGTACGACTCAAGAGAGCCTCGGAAAAGGTAGATATATGCCTAGGCCACCACCAGCAGTGCGAGGAGACCCAGTTGAAGCAGGTGACCCTGATGGGTGTTAAGGACGAGGAGCTTGTCCAACGCCTCACCTCCCTCGACTCTTCCTCTTCTCTTAAGGATGTTTTGACGATATGTCGCTCCTATGAGGCTGCCAGGTGTGCCACCTCTGCCATCCGAGCTCCCCCTACAGTTGTATGCGCTGTGTCCCGGTACAAGAAGGACAAGAAGTCTGCTTCTACGCCTTCGCCCACCATGTCCACGCCCGGTTCATTTTGTAACAACTGTGGTAAGCAGCACGGAACACAGGTGTGTCCAGCTGCAGAGTCTACATGCAACAGTTGTGACCGTAAGGGCCACTGGTCACTCACAGTACGGTGCCCAGCTAAGTACGTCCAGTGCAATGTGTGCGGTCGTCTGGGCCACAATGACAAGTGTTGCCCTACCAGCAAACCCAAGGGACAGCGTCGGCGGAAGCTTCAGCGCCCTTCTACCAGTAAGGGCCGCCCACAGTCTTCCAATCAGAAGCATGACGACCCTGGACAACGCTCGAGCCATATTAGGAATGTGTGCTCCCCCCCGCGTCCCAGGACCAAAGTCCCCCAGTACATCAGTGTCATCGTGACCTACAGCAGTATGTCATCCCGTCTTCAGATGTTGCCCGACACCGGCGCTGATGCTACAGTCATCGGTCCCCAGCATTTGCAATACTTGGGGCTCTCTCCAAGTGATCTAGGACCGCCCCCCAAGGATCTCCGCTTTACGGCAGATGGTTCACAGATGGCCCCAGTGCTAGGTTCACTCCAAGCACAAGTCACCTTTGGCAACAGGTCGTGTCAAGCCTGGATTGATGTGCATAACGGTGTCCCAACTCCTTTGCTGTCCTACAGACATTTTCAAAAGTTGGCCATCATCTCCCAGGACTTCCCCAAACCTATTCTCGAGGTAAAACACGCCAACAGGGTACAAAAAGGGAGCAGCAACGACCCTGCTGCCGCCCTACCCCTGCCTCTTGCCAGTGACACCTCTCCTTCGGATGCTCGGAGGTACTTCCTGAAGGAATTCAGCGACGTTCTGGTTACCAAGTCCGCTTTGGAATCCAAGCCTCTCAAGAAGATGGTAAGTCCCCCCATGAGGATCCACTTGAGGGACGACGCGAAGCCCTTCGCTATTTACACCCCTCGACTGGTCCCCCTGGCCTTCCGCGAGGAGGTCAAAAACGAGCTGGACTCCATGGTCGCCCAAGAAATTATTGCACCAGCCGGTGATGACCCGTCTCCATGGTGTCACCCTATGGTAGTCGTCGCAAAACCCAAAGGTGGTGTTCGGATCACCACTGACCTCTCCAAGCTCAACAGTCAGGTGTCTCGTCCTGCGTACCCTTCTCCCACGCCCTTTGCAGCTATATGCAGTGTGAACCCGAAGGCGCGCTTCTTCACGACGATGGACGCCCTGTGTGGATACTGGCAGATAGAGCTTGCCGAAGAAGACCGACCACTTACAACTTTCATCACCCCGCATGGACGTTACAGTTATTGCCGTGGCCCCATGGGATTCGCCGCTACAGGAGACGCTTTCTGTCTTCGAGGTGACATGGCTCTACAAGGTTTGGCAAACTGCATGAAAGTGGTCGACGACATACTCGTATACGATGAGGATTACATGGATCACCTCTGCCGTATCTACGAGGTACTCAACAGGTGCCGGAAGCACGGCATCACCCTAAATGCCGACAAGTTTGTTCTGGCCAGCTCTTCAGTGGACTTTTGTGGGTACACCCTCTCAGGGAATGGTATCGCAGCTGACCCGGAAAAGGTCCACGCCATCACGGATTTTCCCACCCCTGCTAACCTCACCGACTTGAGGTCCTTCATCGGTCTCGTCAACCAGTTAGCAGAGTTTTCGCCGGACATCTCCGCAGCTGCCCAACTACTTCACCCCCTGATGAGCCCCAAGAGGACATTACAGAAGCGTGTCAAGGAAGTAGCTCTGAATGCCAAGGGGGATCCATTGTATGATCCATCGTTTTGCACTGGCGTCGAAAACCCTCCCTGATGAACTTTGCAAGATCCTGGAGGCAGTGGTCAAATGTGACAACTTTGTGAAAGCTGGAGATCTGAAATGTCGCTTTTTCCAGAACCTTTGTAGAGACTTGGATTCAGAGCATGAAGCCCTCCTCTTTTACTCCAAAGTGCGCTGGCTTTCCAAGGCAATGTTGTGAATCAAGTGTTTGAACTTCGGGGAGAGCTTAGGTTGTTCCAGGAAGTGCAAGGGAAAGATGAGCTATTAAGTCACTTCAATGAGGTGTTGTGGGAGCAACGTCTTGCATATTTAGCAGATATATTTGAGCAGCTAAACAGGCTGAATCTCAAGCTGCAGGGCAAGGACAGAAATGTGTTTCACCTCATGGATTGCCTTCGTGCCTTTCTTGCCAAGCTCCAGAATTGGCAAAGGAAAGTCAATGCCGGAAATGTTGCCATGTTTGAGAATCTTTCAACTGTTCTTGATGAGAATGAAGATCATCTGCTTGATCCATCACTCAAAACTGAAATCACTCAGCACCTGAAAATCTTGGAGAGTGAGCTCTAAAGTATTTCCCAGAATTCGAGGAGGTAAGATGGGAAATTGGTGAGGAATCCTTTCTCTGGCACTCTTGATATTGCTACTATTCCCAATGATGTTCAGGACGAATTTCTTGATCTCAAGAATGATTCTGCTGCCAAAGATCCTTATGAAGAAAGATCTCTAACTGTATTCTGGTGCTCAAAATATCAGTCATATCCAAAAGTTAGCGAGATTGCACTTCGAGTCCTCTTGCCTTTTTCAACTACCTATTTATGCGAATCTGGTTTCTCCACCCTTCTACATATAAAGAGTAAAAGCCGGAACCGACTGGATGTGGACCCAAGAATGACATGTGCATTGTCAGTGACACAACCTTGGATCAGTCACCTGACTGAAAGGAAACAATGTCAGCCTTCCCATTGAGCTGTGACAACATATGCAGAGGTCATATGAACTTTTTCCCAACCAAATTCAAGTTTGCTGTGAGGCTTGTCTAGTAGTCACTCTAGTCTCGTGCTTTTTATTTTTCAACATTATTTGTGGGGGGGTTTGGGAGAAAAATGAAGGAGGCCACGAGGATGTTGAAAATTCCTCAAGGGGGGGAATGGAGTGAAAAAGGTACACCTATGGCCAAGCATGGGTTTTCTTCATGACTCAACATGTGACTGAAATTTTGGCAAGCTGCTTCTTGAATAAAATTTTTAAATCTTATGATTGTTAAATTTTCCTGACATGCCATTTTCAAATAAAAAAATTTATTGAATTTTTATTTATCTGACTTTACTATTATATGTTTTATTTTATGTTTTTATTTTCATTAATATACGAGTATTTAGACAAAGCCGACTGTCAGATCGCGACGTCAACCTCTGTGAACCGAATCAGACTAGCAGAGACGTCCAATGGCTCAGTGTCTTTTGAACGTTGTTGTGTGATATTTGCTTTTTAACAGATGTGGGCCGTGTGTGTGGCTTAAATTTTTGTTGTTGCTTTATATCATAAACTATTGCCGGTAAAGTGTTCAATATTCCTAAAAAAAAAAAATAATAATAAGAACAAAACACTTCATAAATTATTTCAGTCCCATCCGTACAGACTCCACAACAATTTTCCCAGCTGATCCTGTCAGCTGTGAAGAAAGAAGGCAGCTTTTCCATCACATCTAAAGCTGTTGTGGTGGTCTCAAGCTGTGTACAGAACAGATATTCCTCCTTGATGTCACACAAGAAAATATACCGAACAAACACGAGTAGCTGTGCACAAGAACTCACGTCCGTTGATTCATCCAGCTATATTGCAAACATACCAGTTGGAGATAATTTGATCTCCTGTATTACCTTTTCCTTTATGTCATCTGACATTTAATTAATTCTCCGTTTCACTGTATCGTTTGACAAGGAAATTTGTTGAATTTTACGTTCACTTGCCTCTCCAAGAACCCGTTTGACCATTTTTAAAGCGCATGGCTTAATTAAAGTTTCACCAATTGTATGGGGCTTCTTTTGCTTTGCTATTTCGAGGGAAACCTCGTATGATGCCTCAACTACACTTACGGTCTGTTGTTGGAAAGCACCACTCTCGTCCAGTTTTCCCAAACTCCGTTCATGGCGCCTGAAGAAATCGGTGTCTCTCTCCGCATACTGTGGATGGATCGTCATCAGATGATGCTTCAGCTTACTAGGCCTCATAGAATCGTTCCCCAGCACTTTGAAGCATAGCACACACTGAGGTTTCTCAATGCCATCAGCAAGGATTGATGTAAATCCGTAATTAATGTATGCATCGATGTACTTCCGCTTCTTAGCAACACTAGTAGCCATCACAAATCTAGAGAAAATGAAGAAGACAGAATGTCAGAACAGACAAACAGACAAGTGATAAAGATTAAAGAATGATGAAGAAGGACAGATAAATAGGACAAGAGTTAGAATGGCAAACACACACACACACACACACACACACACACACACACACATTCACATACATAACACGCCCATGCACACATACAGTCATACACAAACATGCACACAGGTAAACATTCACACTCAAGCTAGCAAGCTGAAGTGTACTTCCTGTAAGCAAGAACACGCCTCCTTTGACAAACACTGCCCAACTTGGAAGAATGAGAAGAATAGTGAGTCATACCAATTTAGCACTAAAAATGGTAGGATTATATAAGTAAAGAATAAGTATGAACAACAATGGCACCAATAAATAAGGAAATAATTAATAAAGGAAGTGTACAAATATTTCACCCACGTAAAGCAGCGACCACATGAATTATGAAACAAAATAAGTAACACCAATTACGGAGTATATTTTGCTTGAGCCAAGCTCAAACACAATATATGGTTCAAAGACAATACACTCCACTGTTTTCGTGATGGTATCCCAGGCCAGACTGAAATCATTCGGCCCTATCACCACTTACAAAGGGATGACACACGGACACGTACTGAACAAGTCAGTTTTTTTTTTTTTTTTTTTTTTTTTAGGTTAAGGTGGGGAAAGGATGGAAGGCATGCTGGGGCTCAAGGCACAGCCAGACATGAGGGATGGAGAAGTCACAACATATAGTCGTGGGGTGAAAGGTTGGAAAAGAAGTTTAATGAGTTAAACAGAGGGGGATGACACCCCTTGTTTTACATATTACAGAGTTTGTTGGCTAACTAAGCTAACCTAGGATTTAGAATGAGGTTGCACAATGGTTATTTTAGTAGACAATGACTAGATTGATTTTACAATTACAAGTTTATTAACATCTTATACTGTGTTACGTTATGGACTCACTTGACTTGTTAAATGTGAATTTATATCATCTAAGTTTTAATCTAAGGTGGATCACTGTGGCGGACATAGATGGATCGCGGGTTGGGTTGTTGTAGTGAGGGCAGACTCCGGGGCCACCAGGCGTGGGGTCTCCCTCCGTTGCCAGTGATGACCTGACCACCGTAGGGTCAAGACCTATTTAGGCGCTGCTCCTGCTGAGCAGCTCTCACCCTTGGCCAATGTTCGGCCCATTCCCCAAGTCCCTCTCCCCGACCCATCCTCACCACCGGGATATCAACATAATCAAAAGTGGCATTTCGTTTCGGAAAGAAGTGGAACCAGTGTTGAACAGTTAAGAACAGTGTTTAAGCCAGTGAATTCAGTACTAGACAGTACCAGTGAGAGCCGTGACCCGCCAGTGAGATAAGCACCGCTGGGTACTGACCGCCATCTCCTGACAAGGAGGTGCTAATCAGTCCACTCTGAGAACAACAGTGGGTCGGCTTCACACTTGACTTCGAAATAACACAACACCACCCAGTAGGGTGGGGATAGGTCAACAACTGCAAATATGTTGCCTGTATAACAAGTGAACTAACGTGGGTTGAGCACTGTGGGGTGTGTAGGAGCCCGCGAGGCAAGGCCTATACCCTTGTGGTCACGCTCGGCCATGTGGTGAGGGTTTGTTTACACAAACCCCCGTCCTCATAGTGTGCCAAGCTGGTTAGTTCTTTTGAAACTAAAATTGACTTTGATACTGTATCTAACCAGAAAAACAGACATGCTATTAAGAACAAGTGTAGTATAATAAAAGTGTTTATAAACTGAGAATACTCCTGTTACCTTAGTCCCCCCGACACCACACTCCCTCCGCGGGAGGCCCGCTCATGGCCTCCCCTCACACTGCTAATACGCTGTACAGTAGATGCCAATCTCCTTTGTCCTCTAAGAGGGTTACGCCTCCCAACCACCGCTGACTTCCTAGGAGTGCCAAGCAGTCCTCGGCCCTCTGACGTAGGCATATAAGTCGAGCCCTGTAACTCCACCATGTCTGAGTTGACTGGAGACCCAGCTGCTCGCTTTAACTCTCCTGATGCACTGCGTGAGCCAGGCGACTGTGGTGTTGACCTTGACACCAACGGAGAAGATGGCTTTCAACTAGTTCAGTCCAGGAACAAGCGGAAGGCCGAAAAGGCAGAAAGACTTAGAGACAATCAACTACAACCACAAACCCCCATGAGAGTAAGATGATACTTCCCTGAAGGTACATCACCTGAAGACAAGTATCTCTGGCTGAACGATGCGGAAGACAAACACCCAGAGGCTGAGTTTCAGTTCAGAGTCGGTACACAAGATCATGTTCTGATTAGAAACGACCCAGCAGTCATACAGGATCTCCTCACCAATAGCATAAGGGGAATAACCATGGAACAATCATCCCAACCACCGAGCAAGAAAACCATAATAATCATAGGGCTCGACCAGTACCAGACCCCTACACTACTAGAAGCCCATCCCTACATCAGAAGGACGAAGCGACT